ATCATGGATACAAACACGGCATGCAGACATGTTCTCTCGATAAAGGCTAAACATTTGCAACAATATCACAGTTTTTATAGTACAAAGTTGCTGTGCTCGGTGTACATTTGTTGCTCAATATAAAGATATACAACTTCATCATAAGTTTCTGCAGTCATGTTTTTAGGTTAAATGCCATAGCCAATTTTTTGTTGTTCCTCAAGGCAAGCAACGCATTCGTTTTGAAGGATTTATCAATTTTTTATACAGAAAGCATAGATTTGATACAAACTCTGAGTAAAGCGTCTGTCTCATTTCGCTTCAGAGATTTGGTGTATGTTGTAATTGCAAATTTTCAAACTATAGATATAACAAAAATTATAGCACCAACCACTCACTATTAGATAAAAAATGTCCAACTTTTCTATATTATCAACAACAGTACAACTTGAAAATCCTTTTTTAAGAAAGAAGAAATTTTAGCCAAAATTTTAGAATATTGCATCATTTATGACACACGACTATGTAAATAACTTCCAAATTCAACGTATTAGTACTAATACTGCTCATGATACTAACGAGCTAGATTCTTTTTTACAAAATCCTGAAATATCTGTTAGAATTTATCATATGAACATCAGAAGTATAAAACATAACGTTGACTACTTTAAATTAATTTTGAAAAGAATACAAAGTGATATAGATATAATCATTCTATCCGAAACATGGCGATGTGTTTCATTTAGAAGGGTACGATACATTGTATAATTTTGGTAACCATAATCAAAACGATGGAGTGATGGTGTATGTACGAAACAATCTGCCTTATAACCATACCATATTTACAATCAACAATGAACTAAAAGGTATCAATCTAACAATGCAAATTGAAAATCGTAGAGTCAAAATTACTTGTGTTTACCGACCACCATCTTCAGATCCTCATACATTTATAAGAGACATAGATGAACTATTAAAAAACAATGAAAACAATCACCTTCATAATCAAATATTTATAGGCGACATCAATATAAACATTTTAGAGGAAAATTCTATAGTGAAAGAATATTTAAACATTTTATCAAGTAATGGTTTTTTATCATACATAAATAAAGTAACACGACCCACCAGTAAAACCTGCATTGATCACTGCTTTATAAAGGATATTTCCAATATTTTTTCTTACATGCCTATTATCTATGAAACCGATATTACAGATCATTATTCCACTGTATTATTGATATCTTCACAAAATAAAAACCAGAACTGCCCAAGGGCAAAAAATGAAAGAAACCTTGAATACAAATATTTCACTGACAACTCAAAATTAATATTTAACGCACAAACGGAATCGTGGGACGAAATTTTTTTAACAAATTCTTTAGACGAAGCTACAAATTTATTAATACACAAAATTCAAAAAGTAATTGAAGTTAGTACTAATAAGGTTAAAATAAGTCACAAGGAAAAAAGCAGAAATGATTGGATGACCAAAGGACTAATAAAATCTGCAAAGGAAAAAGAAAGACTGTATAAAATCATGAAATATTTACCCACGAAAGAAAATATAGATCATTATAATCAGTATAAAAACAAATTTATAGAACTTTTGAGAAAAGCAAAAAAAATTACTATATAAAACAATTGAATAATAATTCACATGACTCTAGACACCTATGGTCCACTGTCAATGATATATTCAATAAGTAATCCTATTCAAAAAACAATATTAATGAAATAAAACAAAAACAGGACAGAAAACAGACAATATTCAGCAAATATGTGATGAGTTCATAGAATTTTTCACGAATATAGGAGGAAACTTAGCAAATAATATCAAACAAAATGCTGATATTCATCTGCATGAAACAAGACTGAATAATTCATTTGTATTAACTGAAGTAGACTATCAGGATGTTTTCAATGCCATTATGACTCTAAAAAATAAAAAAAGCCCTGGAGTTGACGAAATTAGAGCTGAACGTCTAAAGATACTGGCCAAACAAATAACAAAACCGCTTGGTTATATCATTAACAAATCCTTCCAATCTGGAGTATTTCCATCAGCTTTCAAGACAGCAATCATCATACCTATCTATAAATCTAATGATAATATGGACGTCACTAACTATCGACCTATTTCACTTATATCAAGTTTAGCTAAAGTTTTTGAGAAATTACTCCTTAATAAAATGATTAATTTTCTTAATAAATTCAAAATTCTAAATTCAAATCAATATGGTTTTATAGCGGGCAAATCTACAACAGATGGGGTATTAAGTATAGTAGATGAAATAACCCAAAATATAGATGGAAAAGTACCATCGATATGCGTATTTGTGGACTTACAAAAAGCGTTTGACACAGTTAACCACAATATACGTTTGGAAATCTTAGAAAGAATAGATTTTCGTGGAAAGATGTATACTTTAATGGAAAATTATTTATCAAATAGACCGCAATCAGTAAAATTATTAAGCTCGCAAACATTTCTTTACATGTTTGTTAAATGTGGTGTTCCACAAGGTACAATTTTGGGTCCTCTGTTATTCAATATTTATTTAAACGATATATTCAAAATTAACAGTACTGGTAAAATAGTCAGTTTTGCAGACGATACTGCTATACTCTATAAAGGTAAGAATTGGAACGACTTAAAAGATATTATCCAAAATGACTTTTGCAAAATTATTCAGTGGTTTAATAACCGAAAATTAACAATTAAGTTTACTAAAACTCATTTTTTACCATTTTCATCACTATCTAATCATCTACCAAAATATAACCACCTTCGGTTTAAGGTAAATGATAAAAATATAAAAATCAATAGAGTTAATGATACAAAATATTTAGGAATTTATCTAGATCCCCACTTGAGATGGGATGTACATATTTCTCACATACAAGAAAATTAGATTCATAGCATATAAAATAAAATTTCTAACCGGTATATTAACTGAATATTATCTACAAATAATATATCAAGCTTTAATCGAGCCACACATAACATATGGTATAGTAGTGTGTGGTGCTGCATGCACGACATACTTTAACGATTTAGATGTACTTCAAAGAAGAATTTTAAAATCAATGTTAGGCAAATCAAAATTATACCCAACTAATGACTTATATAATGATGCACAAGTACATGATACTAAACAACTTTACTTCTTACATACCATCACTCATTATCACAAAACTATTAGTGAACACGACATAATTAAACATAATCATAAAACACGATATAAATTACGCGCAAAAAATGTTCCTAAACCAAACAAATCCCTAATGAAACGATGTCACCTGTATATAGCTCCAAAATTGTACGAACATTTACCAAATAACTTAAAACAATTACGCAATACATTAGGCTTCAAACAAAAATTAAAAAAATTTATTAACACGATTGGGAGAAATCAAATTAATAAAATAATCTCAAATATTACACAATAAATATGCTCTACCATTCTTACCAATAATTTCTTTTTTCTCTCTATTTTATTATATTTTGCAATTCAACATACATATGATCCATGCACAGGCGTTGTCCTCCTATGGATATATTATATTTATTTACTCGTTTCATGTTCCCTGTATTTTAGAGTAAATAAATATTATTATTATTATTATTATTATAATATCTGCGGATAACACCAAAATGTTCTATTGAGAATCAAATAATTTTGTTTCCGTCGACATTACAGACAGAAAATGATAAACATTAGCTTTTTCTATCTTAATATAGGATTTGGAGATTTAAAACAGATGAGTTCAGTTTGTCATCTTGAAAATCTAGACATTATTAAAATATGAATCAGATAAGAAACCCGTAAAAATTGCGTCACTACTATGTACGATAACCACAATAAAATTTGCTGCGCAAGTTATCCAGTAACCGTATATCACAGTGTAAAAGCTTATCATATGGTTGCGGATGGTAATCATAGTGGCCATGTGTTAGTCTGAAAATATTCTTCACTTCGCCTATACAATAGATAAAAAAAGTTTGATTGCGATAAAGTAGAATCATGTAACAGAATGGTTGCATGGTTGACAAAATTTGAACCTTGCACTGCCGCAAAGGTTCTTAGCGGATGTAAGAGTGTTTACACTTTTGTTTATAATTTATACATGCAGCTCTTATACAGGGTGGCCGATATGTAACTGACTGGTCCTCTTGATTGCATTTTCCTTCACTTTTTGGTAGGTTTCGGAAGGAATAATTTCAATCGCTTCCGTAATATTGGTCTTCAGCTACTCTACAGTTGTCGTAAATCGTTATTTTGGGTAATAAGCCGCAGTATTGCATGACTATATTGTCGGCGACTTCCATGGTCACTAGACTGTAAATCTTGGGTTAACTGAATTTTGTATTGCCGCAAGTGTTTTTTTAAGATAGTGCATAATGACGTGTGAGGAGTTCTTGAGAACGATGTCTGGTAGACGTCTCAGGGCGCTCCACTATACTTTCACGAACTCTTCCGGAGTAGCTCGAACATGGCCCGACCTTGGCAAGTCTTTAACTTCACCTATTTGTTCAAATTGCGGCACCAACTGCCGAATCGTTGTAACAATCGACTCATTATCTAAGTAAAACGTTTTAACAATACGGACGCGTTGTGGGATCGTGCAGCACTCCACGATAAATTGGAGACATGTGCTTCAAACAATTACTACGCGCAATTTAAATCAGTCAGTTATATATTGGCCACCCTGTACAACCTCTTGAGTGACTAAAGTGTCCTATTAGGTGTACCCATCCCGCTTATATACCTGTTCTAAGAACGATTTTGCCGATGTTCTTGCAACATACAATGCTGTGTAAAAATACTGAAAAACGTTCTTACAACCCTAATAGAAGTGATAGTTATTATTTGGGCCATACCTCCTTGTTTGTTTTCCGACTGCCTTTACACTGCCTTTAATTGTAGAGTCAGCCCATACTTTACGGTATGTATGTCCCGCATTTATCCAGGTTTCATCAGGCAGCAGCGGTAGCCGCAGTGGTAGACTCTTCGGACTCCTGATCAGTCGCCGTGCGCTGCGCGGGTTCGAGTCCCGTCCTAAGAGACATTTTTCTCTTGGCTATGGATGTTGTGATTGTCCGTGGGTGGTAGACCGTCTGTGACTATCGAACGCGGAGGTACCACTCGGTGGATCTCGTAGGCGGGGCCAGAATGTGTGCATGTTGCACGCACATGTGTTCCCTCGCCAGAGTCCCTGTATCCCCCTATAGTCCCACGGTACCCACTGGGTGTTTACGCCGTATGCCTTCGTGGTAGTTGGAGTATAAAACAAAACACGACAAGACGTCTAATGCTAAAAAGCATGAAACAACGTTGTATGAGGTTGGTCATGGTTACAGAAACAGCAAACATCTTCAATTCAGCCTGTTTAATAAACATTGAGCTATTGGAGGTGGGTACGAAAATTTGCATCACCCTTTGATAGACGTCAGGTTATGACCAATGAAACGCTTATTCTAAACCAATTTATATGCCTATATTTTGCATGACCCTGTGTGAGGTGGTGCAAAAACGACACGATATATCGCGGACGTGTATCGAGAGAGGTGTGCATGTAAAGTGTCTGAAACAATGCCATCTGCATAGTTCGTTCCGTTTCCGCTGAAAGGGACGTGACATGCAATCGGAACCGGGAACTCTGGGAGCTGGGGTTCTCTCAATCAAATTTATCAACTTCTTTCGAGGGAAATACTGCCGGCAGAGGCGAAACTTTCTCCCTTACGGTTGATGACTATAAAGGCTAGAACACTCGATACCACAGACGTACTAAAGAATCATTCTCGAAGGGCTGCTGGCTTTCTCTAACCGTTTCCCTTGTTTATTTATTTATTGAGCAACAGTCAACGCCAATTACAGGACATGAACATGAAAATAAAAAGAAATCAATGCATGTAAGGTGACTCAAATAACGTCATGTCCCGAATAACGCCAGAAGCCATCATTCAGAAATCCATCAATGCAAGTCAAAAACTATGTGATATAGTTTGGTAGGTTTCTATACCGAATGCAACAGATTTCGCCACATGCATTGCCATCATTTACCAACAACAACGCTATTGGCTGTAAAGTTTTTGTTGCAAGAATTTTGTTGTTTAATCATTGTGTAAATTATATTTGTTGATATCCATGTCATTTTTGTTAAGTTTATTTTAGATCTAGTTAGTATGGATCAAAACGTAAGCAGTTTTCTTAAAATCGGCACTATAAATTTTAGGTTAAGTGCGCCTAATAGCGCTTGCCGAGAATCTTCCGATGGCGATAAATTGGTTCAGAAAAAGAAAAGTGAGACCCAAGGTGTTATGGAAGTCGGCGAAACTCACCAAAAGAATGGAAGGGAAATAGAAGATTTTTTAAATTTGCCCAGTTCGTCAAAACAAGCTGAGTACTTTGAAATTAATCTTGATAGAAAGAAAAATGAAGATGAATGCGAAAGAAGGAGCGAATAAAATTCGTGAAGAAAACAGGAGAGAATTTGGTACAAAAAGCAAAAATACCGAAGTAAATGTTAAAACAAAATAACAAGAAAACCTAAAAGTCGACGCAAGCGATAATAACAGAGTGAAAGTAAAGACCAAAAAAGGGATACAGCATTATAATGAGAACGATCAAAATAATCAAAGCTTGACTGAGTTTTTTCCAACACCTGATATATAGGCAACAACAAGTGTGAAAAAGCGCAAAGCAATTAACGTACAAGTTGTTGTCAGAGGTTTGTTCTCTACATCTACTCACAATATCAGCATAAAAGCTTCACTCCTAGAGAGTTGGTATTGCTTTATTTGTCAAGAAAATCGGATTTGTGATACGCGTCTATGTGACATTTGTAACCGATATGTCCACGTAGAGTGTTTTGGCGTTATTTGGGACAAGGTGTTCCTAAAAGCGCCAACTGCAATGTATATAAAAAAACGAAAATTTGTTTGTTTGAATTGTTATAAAAAAACATGGTAGGTACTATATTTTTTATTCTAATATATGTAGAGATAAAAATTATCAAGATTCATGACAGTTTGAAGGTCTTTTTTTTATATATATTGAGGCAGCCGCGCAGGCAGAAGCCTAAATGCCGGAACACCGCGGCTGCTATGATGATCCCAAAGAAATTTTGTTAATACGATTTTTGAACTGCCTAAGGTTAGTCGAATTGGGAAAATATTCCTCTTGTAGATTGTTCCACAATCTCGACACCGTCGGGAGAAAGGAGCGGTCGTATCGGCCTGTTCTGGATGTACGAAGTTCGACACGGTTAGGACGGGACGCCAAAGTCAGGCGGGTCTGCCTGGCAGGCAGATCGCGCGGCAGCATCATGGAAGAGAGCTCTGAGGAGCAAAGCAAGTTGGTGTAGCGGCAGAAAAGAGCTAGATTGCCGACGGCCGCCGGTGCGAAAGGGTCCCGAGGCTGTCTGTTAGAGAAGAGTCATCGATCAGTCGGACTGCCCTCCTCTGGAAAGCATCGAGCATGGAGAATGTAGTCAGGGCGGCAGCACCCCAAACGTGTGAGCAATACTCGAGGCTAGGCCTTATCTGGGCCTTGAATAGAGTGAGAAGGTCATGCGGAAGAAAATACTTCTTAGCCCTAAACAAACAGCCTAGCTTTTTCCCAGCAGCTGCTGCTATTGACGAGATGTGTTCGTGCCAGATCAGATTCTCGATCATCTGGACTCCAAGCAGCCGAAAGAAATGGTTCTTTGGCCAGAACTCGGCCATCCATCGAAACCGGATGAGCGCTAGGACGCTTTTTGTTCGTCAAAGTACAGTATTGTGCTTTGAATGCATTGAACTGTACAAGATTGTTGCGTCCCCAAGCAGTGATAGCCTCCAGGTCTCTTGTCAGAGAGGTAGTCGACGCTAGTCTTCTTCTTTCCAGCTCAGCGGCAGAGATCGGCTTGTCACTCTGAATTCATGCATGTAGAGTGCTGTCATCAGCGAAGCTGCGGATTGGGTTGATCGTGCAGGAAAGGAGGTCGTTGATATGTAAGAGAAACAGTGTCGGAGCTAAGACCGATCCCTGGGGAACACCCGCGTTGACGTGGGATGAAGAGGAGAACCCGTCAATTACGACGGATATCTTACGGCCAGAGATAAAGTCAGCCACCCATCTGCAAAGCTTTTCTGGAAGGTCATAGGAAGGAAGTTTGCTTAAGAGGGCAGCGTGCCACAGCTGATCGAACGCTTTCGTGATGTCAAGAGCAACGACATGAGCCTCACCATAAGAGTGGATGAGTTTACTCTCCAATTGCGGGACGTAGGCTAGGAGGTCCCCTGTGGATCGTTGGTGCCGGAAACCATACTGCCTGTCGCTAATCAAGCTGTGACTTTCGAGGTAGTCCAGAAGCTCGCGATTTATGCACCTCTCCATCACCTTACTTATAACAGAAAGCATAGCTATAGCTCTGTAGTTGTAAGGGTCGGTCTTAGATCCTTTTTTGGGATGGGTTGGACATAAGCAAATTTTCAGTTTTCTGGGAAGGTGCCAGATTCATAAGATATCTGGAAGAGACGCGAAAGAACTGGAGCAAGCTCCGCTGCACACCTCTTCAGTACAATGGCAGGACCAGAAGCTTTGCTGATGTCGGGCGACAAGAGCACTCGTCTTACGGTCTTATGCCTGAATCTTACCTCGCGCATAGTGTAGGGAACCCTTTGAATTGACGGCACTTGGACGTTGGGGGGGGGGGGACGTCCATGGTAGAGTTGGCAACAAAGATCTTGGCTAGCACTTCCGCCTTGGCCTTTGAGTCGAATACAATAGTTCCATCCTGACATATGTAAGCGGTGGAAGGCTACTGTGTGAGAAGTTCTTTTCAATCTGCTTGGCCAGCGTCCAGAAAGACCGACTGCCCCTGCGCTGCGACATTACCCTGTGTCTAACTTTTATATCGTGCTTCTTTTTGGCATTGCGAACTTCTTCGTTATATTTGTTTCTGGACTCGATGTCGGCTTGTCTGTTCTCTACAGTGGGGTTTTGTAAGAAGGTTCTGGGTGCCTTGATCATCTGCTATGCATTCATGACGCTATGCAAAAACAAACGTTAATATGGCGTTATTTGGGTCAAGTACCTTAAGTGCCGAAAAAAACCTCAGAACAGAACTCTGAAGAATAACAGTGGCGTCAAGTAGACTGACTCTATAAATCCTAAGCCTTCGTTGAAAGAAAAGAGGTGCGTCAAGTCGTTTCAAAAGGCGAAATCAAATCGTGATTAGATAGGTTCACTTAGGTACGATCAATCCGAATCTTCATATCAAACTATGTAAAGCAAATCTATTACATTTTCGACTCTATGAAAAATATGTGTGACTTATTATGCCTAACAGGTGCATAGTGTCACTGAGATCGGCAGATTCTTAATAATAGAAGGTCTTTTACTGACATCAAATGTGCAACAATTTACAACCACTTACCGCAAATGATGGAAGTATTAAGCTCGATTTAATTCGAACTTCGGTTCACAAGTTTTCTGTTGCTTAAATATATCTGCACGCATATCTCCGTGTTTCTCATTTAAGTCAGCTTTTAAGTCTGCGTCTGTCGTATATCAAGGAGTCATAAGTACTGAGTCTAGCTACTTGACGAAATATTCAGAGGATCATCATTGACGGAGTAACACAAATTAAAAGTTAGGCGAAATGGGCCGTACATTTAAAGTTGAATATTAAAAAAACAGTCAAGCCATTATTTACAAGAGCATCACAGAACGCTAAAATGGTACATACTCCTAATATCCAAGTACTGCTAAACTACATATACTGGGGGTCCACAAAGTTGTGGTTTTCCTTTTCAGACATAACGACGCTTGACATAACAAAGCTAATCTGTGGTGAATATGATCGATACGCAAATTGAACCTGTAATAATTAATATTAGGTGATTCAAGTACTTCCAGCGAATAAAGAATTGTGAAAAGTATGTGCACTTCTTTATATAAAAATAATCATTTATTTTGTTAGATTATTCCAAGACCATTGAGGAAAATACGGACCTGTACAATCTCGCTTTTGGGCATGTTGTGCTTTTTCTGGGCGCAAATCGACTACGAATGTGGTATAGCTCTTGTGTGAGTATCTCATCCAAATCCGAGCAGTACTTTTTAAGTTATAGGCGGTCCAAAGACTGGTGGCCCACTATCTACGCCTATGTTGTGTCTATTGTTCGGC